GTGCGGGGCTGGAACAGGCCGGGCGCCCTGACCTCCCGCGGGCTTCCTTCTGCCGCCCTGATCTGCGGAGCCTGCGGCTGGCTCCGAGCGAGAAGCCCCTTACCGATCTTCACAACCGCATCCGCCATGCACCGGTCCCACTTCTGGCCGAGCTCTGACTCCGACATGTTCCCCACCCGCAGCTCCAGCTTTCGCGAAGGCCGGCCCCCGCGCGCTGACTTCCGGCAAGTCTCGCGAGAGCCGGCGCCGTTCCCAGGCCCCGAAGGCCGGCGCCCGCCCTCCAGATATCGCGAGATGCTAGGACTGCTTTCGTCCCTTCCGGTTTTTTTCAGTTGGTCGTCAAGGTGATGGGTTGCCTGGAGGCCCGAGGTGACCCTGACCTTGGAGCTGCTCCTAAGGGTTACAGTTTCGTCCGCCGCCTCCAGGGCCGGGTTGAAGCCTCTTCTCCCCACCAGCTCCCGACCATGGCTCCAGAAATCCGCAGAGCAAGAGCGGTCGCAGCCCTTGCCTGATCATTCCTTCCCGGACCTTCACTTTTTCTATTCATTCATTCCCCTGCTTTTCCCAGCGGAATTCCCGCCCGCGCGGCCGGCACGGAAACTGCTCTGGCAAAGGTCCCCGCCACTGCCGAGTCAGAGGACGCTTTCCGCCCTCTTCACCGTGTTCGACGCAGGTGCCCCTCGGCCTCCTCGTCCCCTCTCTGCATGGACTCCGTGACACCATCTCCTTCTCTGACTCTGGTTTCCTCCAAGGCTGCTTGTTCTCTGAGCTCTTTAAAGAGTATTGATTTCAAGGTTGCATCGATCCTTTTCACGGTCTAGTTTCTCAGAGGAATTGCAACCCTTGCGAATTATGTATTTCCAGATGAAACGCCTCCCTCAAGCTTCCTGTTCATACGTATTTGGCTCTCTGTTCGTGTCATTGATTTTAGTCTTTCCCCCATTTCTGGCCTCAAAAAAATTTTTTTTTGGAGAGGTTTTTAGCTATAGGGGGCGCAGCGCTCGCCAGAAAGATAGACGGAAAGCGAGAAGTCATCTCCCAGTGGGAATGGCCACCCCGCAATCCCTTCTCCTCTCGGGATCTTGGGCGCACACACACGCGCCCGGAGTGAGTTTAAGCCACCGGTCCGGGAGACGGCCCGCGGTCGTCTACATGGGAGTCCAGTGACATAGCCATTACGCTAACTGCTGGTCCCCATGTTGCTCTGATTTGAAGCTGTTAATGACTCCCATTCCTCTGCTGTATAGATCAAAGCTTCAACAGAACACTGCACTCCTAGGGAGCCTGCTGGAATCAGCTTTGAACTGGATCTCCCCTTCTCATGGTCCCAGAGCCTATCTACCCCCCACAGAATCTTCTAGTAATACTCAAACACTTCTTATAGGTGTTATCTGCCAGTAGAGCTAGATGCTCCTTAAAGGCAGGAGCCGCTCCTTCTTTATTTGCATATAGTTCAGAGCAGGACCCGTGGGTAGTAAGATCTCCCATAAAATCTTTGTTTGAACTGAGTTCAATTCATTCACCCATTTATTTATTGTTAGCAACTTGAACAGCAGAACTGTATTGTACCAGACATTGCTCCACAGTCCCTTCCTTCAGGAAGCCTTCTTGTGTGACCCTCTCCTGGTGTTCTTCAGAGCAACACAACAGATTGTGATTATTTACATGTCTCTTGGACTTGACTGAGCAAATTGAGAATGGGGTGTTTCTGCATTCTCAGTGCTTAGCAGAAAGCCTGGGGGCAGAGGGATGCTGGGTGATCAGACCCAACACCTGTGTTGGTTCTTGTCGGAAGCTCACAAAGAATTAAACACTGACACAGAGGGGTTCACAGGGTGGAGATTTTTTTTAAAACGTTTTTATTTTATTTTTTGAGAGAGATTTTGCTATAGGGCTCCCGCTCTTGCTGGAGAGACAGAAAGTGAGAAATCACCCTCCGGGGGTGAGGTGGGGGGGTGGCCACACCACAATCCCTTCTCCTCCATTCTCTCTGGATTTGGGGAACATGTGCCTGGCATGAGTTTTAAGCGGCCGGGTCTGGGACTTGAACTTCAGTTGACTACATGGTAGTCCACCAATGTAACCTTAAGCCATCTGCTGGTCCCCACAGTGGCATT